AAACTATACATATAAAATATCTAACAAACAATTCTAAAGATAGAAAATCTATTTAAAGTAAAGTAGTCTAAAAATAGTACCTAGTAAACATTTTCACACATTTTCTTTTAGCACAGATTTTAGAAATATATTCTAAAAAAAGCTAAAAACAAATTTTTGTGTCGAAAAAGCAATTTGCCACACCCTGTACAAACAGCGGAGATAATGCGACAGGCTTAGATAAAAATACAGCATCAACGACCAACGCGACAGGGCACGGAGCACGTGGCAACTAGTGTTTTAATTGGAAATTAATCAGGCGTTTTGAGGACGGCAAATATTCTACTAAATGTTAGGACGAACAAAAGGACATGTACTTATGTAAATACTTATGTACGTAAGTTAAACCTTTACTAATAATAAAAGATTTTTCTTGAGTAGGTTTTAGTGGTTAGAAATTAAGAATAGCTTAGATATAGGTATATCTCCCCGAAGAGTAAGTTATATTATATAATTATTTCGACTATTCAATACAATAAAATATTAAAAAATAAGCAACCAGCTTACAGTACCTATTTTTCAGTATTTTTGAGCAATAAGTATTTTGCTTGGGGCTAAAAACAATAAACTTGACGTCACAGTACACAATCTCGTACAAAATTTATAGAAAACTGTCGTTTTGACAGTTGAAAAAAGTATTGAATTTGACTAGACCCAATTGTTTAATTTTGTGGACTAACTTTTCAAATAGGTAGGTAAGTAACAAGCCCGAATACTGAAAGGCTGAATTTTAAATTGTAGGTACTTTATTATCGTGGCATCTCTGTCATTTTACAAACCATTTGTAGAGACAGAACTACACTCAAGCGCGACTTACAATTGAGTATCGTTTGAGTATTTGGACAAAAGCCTACCAAAAGGACATTAAAAAAATTGGAAACAAACTACCCTATTGTTATGTCATTTTACAAGTTATTAAATTACAATATTAACATCACGCCTTTTATGCCCCTGTACAATGCACAATTCCAGACTCCGTGCTACTACTGAGTTTTTTTTAGAAAACGCAGTAATATTTTGCCCGACCCGGGAATCGAAACCGAGACCCCTTGCCCGGCAGTCGCATTTGCGACCACACGGCTAACAAGGCAGTCTATTTTGATATTATATAAATTACAATCTATCTTTGATAAAAATACAATAATGAAACAAGTACACGGGTATCACTTTGCTTCGAACCCTTATCCTGAACATACCACCTTCTCATTTATTATTCACATATATGACTCTTACTGCTACTTCCAGTAACTTGAGAATGTGTGAAATCATAGAATCGTGTAACTTCTGAACAAAATGGCTATCGATTTACAGGAATATGAAAGTAAGAATAACTATGAAATCTGTACAAAAAGTGTCTATACACTGAATATAGATCGTTAGTTGTCAAAACTTGAAGTCATATTAATTATGATAATAAAAATGATTTAATATTGTACGCAGTGGATTCGCAACCTAAACAACATCAACTAAAATAACTAGTACATAATTTTTAATCAGAATAACTACTTACATAATCTAAATTTGCTAACGCCAGCAACAACAACGCCAACTAGTACCACGTCTCGATAGAATAAACAATTAATTTCACATAAGACATACATTTAATATCAAACAAAACAACTGGCCATCCTGTTACAATAAAAAGCTCGACATGGGAACCGAACCTGCACTAATCTTTAAGTGGGAGGCGCACCGGACGCGAAACTTGTATGTCTTGAGAACCGGTTCGAAGCGGTTATCCAGTGACTTGTTTATTTTTATGGACACCCTTCTTAGAGCACATCTAGTACTTAGCGAAAGATACTAAGTTCTATAACTTGGAGGCACATTATTGGGTATTTTGCACTGACTATATGTCCCTTAATACAAGATACAACCCTATCCGCACCTTAAAAGTATTAGAGTGTAACTATATGAAGAGATTACAAACGTCACTTCACAATTTAGTATTAGTTTATCGACAAGAAATCCATTAATGATCATAGCGCTTCTCACAGGGCTCCGGCTCGACGTGCAGGAGAAGGAACGGGGTGGTTTTTAGTCAGTAAGAGTCTGACACTCCCTCCCGCCTCACCGGGACGGGAGAAGCAAATGGTTGCGTGAACATAATATGTTTTACACTTCACTATTCTTAGTTAAAGTCCCTTAACTATAAAGAAAGAAACACCTTTTAACTACTACAATTTCAAATACCATGCAATTTATTACTATGAATTTTCACAAATGAAACATCCTGTACGGTTTTACTTATCGAAAATAAAATTAAAATCTCCTAATTGTCAAATCAACCACAGAGCAGAATACTATCAGTGGAATTGGTTAAAATATTTCGTATCAAATTGCCAAACTCCAAAACCCAGTCGAAATATTCATCAAACAAATAGTTCGGAAAAGCCTAATGCCGTACGAATTGAATTGAATTCAATCACATTCACAAATATAATCACGTATGGGCACTGATTCCCTAATTCCGGACAAATAACAGATCATTACGATACTAGATAGGCGACGCCCACACAATTAATATTTCGCTGGTGTACTGTTACATCGTTGATTATAAAGGTTGCATGTTTAATTAGATTATCTGTAGTTTTAAAATAATTACTAAGCTTAAAAGTTTAGATAGTACCTACCTTGATCAACAATTAGACTTAACGCACTTTTGAACATCAAACATAAACAAATAGTTCGTTAGATTGATGTTTCTAAATCACTATAGTAGCAAAATCACTTCATGAGGACAGTTTACATTTAAACTATTTAGAGCAATTATGACAAAAAAAAATATAAATACTGCCTAGAGGCATATAAACCACTTATGAAAAATTTTCGACATAAAACCTGTCAATTAGGGTACCTATAAATATAGTTTGCACAAGATCTAACCAGATTCAGTTCCATTCGTATTAAGTTAAGAAGACTTAAGAAATGCCAATAAAAATTTTGTTCATCACTTACGAATCTAAACACAACCACATCTTGAAACTTAATCCTGAACAGTCACTTCACCAAATTTACTTTCAGTCACACACGAAATGCCTGAATTTCCGAATAACACAAATGCCTACTACTGACTTGTATCCTTTCATCCCACTCTATATGATTAACGATTTATTTTTAAATTTATTTACTCACACTCACATACCTATATGACAAACGTAGGAACTTTGCGAGAAATGTCATATTATAAAAAATGTCGCCATTTTATTAGCATTCATTTGTTTATTTATAATTCTATAGACTTTTTCCTAAGAAAATGCTATCTATTCATAGTGGAAATATGTGGGAAATGTAAACATTGTCGTGTAATAGGAATGGTGACGAGGCAGGAAAATGTCATGTGTTCTATTTAGCCCGTCATTTAGATATAGATGAAAAGAAAATATGGGTAGGCAGTTCATGACAGTTGTGGAGGGGCGTTGTCATAGTTTAGTGTAAAATGAGTCAAATCAAATGATGAAATTTTAATAGCTATGAAAGAAACTTAAAACACTTTCGAAATGAATTACCTGTATTATTGTGAGATCTATGGAAAATAATTGGAAACTAAGTTACTATATAGCGTTTTAAAATACCTTTGCATGCATAGGTACTGATATAATTATATAAATTTAACATAAGACGATTATTAAGTTACCCATCTCAAAATGTACATTATGTAAAAAACGCAAGGATCAAAATTCTTTGCTACCGTTATGATTAATCTTAATAAGGGTCTTAAGGAAGGTCCCTAAACTTACTTTTGGACCATTTTGGTCGCATTTAACGCGTTTGAAACCCCAGAAGAAGTATTCAATGCTCCTTATGATTAACTTGGTAACGCAATTTATGATGTTAATGCTTCATATTAAAACAGTTGTGCTGTCACCCGAATCAGTAACAAAGCTTTATATACAAAGATGTAATTACACTCCGTATTCATAGTTTGCAAACCGGAATACTGCAATGCTCAAGGAACGAAGAAGTATGAAATTATAGCAAGTGTACAACACAGATAAATAAGGACTGGAAACTTTAATACCATCTTCTCGTTACTTCCTGCGATCAGAGATAGCACATCCAGTTATCTTGGTTTTACATCTTTTGGAGTACAAATTCAGCAGATTTAGTGAGGTGTTATGAATCTTCGATTGATTTTAAAGTCTAGAAGTCTAGAACAGTATGTAGTATTTAGGTTTAAACAATTATGACCACAAGATACTAGTTAATCAGATAACTGATAATTCTGAAACTGTTCTAAACACTGAACAGAATACAGTAATGTCTATTGCAAAAGACTTTCCCCCAGTTTGTTTGTAATTCCATTCCCAAGGGTAGAAATTAGTATACCGCAGGAGCAAAGTCGCGGGTGATAGCTAGTTAACGGTTTAATGAGATCAGGTGGGGTTTAATCTATTTTCGTCCAAAGGACAAATACAGTCGACGAAATCTTTTCAATAGATTAGTCGCCTTGGTATCACTCATGCGAAATATTTTCTTATTTGTTAGGTATAGCTAAATTATTTATATGACATCTTTTTATATTAATTCATATAATAATGCTGTTTAATGTACGGTTGTTGGTGTATTCAACATAAAGTGCGTGCGAAATTGTTGAGGGGTAGTGAGGGTAGCTGGAAAATCGTTCTTCAACCGAACGTTTCGCTTGAACCGTCGTAAAATTTTAATGTTTTGTTTCGATACTTTTATTTCCATGTCTGTATCGATAAACTTATTTTGTCAGTCTATCAAATATTTATTGTATTTGTTTTTGTTTTTTTTATCTGCACTAGTTAGTATTGGCGTTAAATACAAATCCGCGCCTGACTATCTGAACAGTTCGTAAACATGTATGTACACTGAATGGAACATAAATTGTAAGCTCCATAAGTTAGTTGAAGTTCACATCCTACTCCACTTAAAAAAATAATTAAACACTATCATATCGAGTTCCAAGCAAAGAACATAAAACATAGACTTACTCCCACGAAACTCGTATCGGCGGAAATCGGAACCGGTCCGCAGTCCAAACCATCCGGCAACCGGTTATGCACGATGACTTTTCATTCATTCATAAAAACACTGAGTAGCACACACTTGGGCACAATTTTTCACTGTAATCCGTAAACACTGAGGTCGGCGCTACAGGTGACCGCGACGCGAGGGACGTGCGCGCTCGGCGGGCGCTGGATGCCGTGTGGTCAGGGCGTGCGCCGTGCGCGCGGCCGGCGGGGGAGGGGAGGGTGATCACTACAGCGTCCCGGGGAGCTATCGCCAGAGCCTGCGTGCTCGCCCCTCACGTTGCTACGCTGGGGCGGTTTTTGTTCCCTACAGATAATTTCAAGCTGAATCGCCTAATGATTCCCCGGCATTGTACATATTTTATGTCGAAATTATATTAATTACCGAATTATTTATTACAACGCTCATTCATTTTAAATTGGGAACCATATTGATGACGTAGCTTTGCTCCTACATACGCATTGACATTTGGAGCGTTCGAAATTTGAATTGCGCAAATTCGTAATTTTTGTTCGTTTCTAGTGTAGTACTGGCACGTTAGTAAGTTTGAATGTGTTATCTGTGGTCTTTTCAACCGTAGCTCGCCTAGCAAGCCGCGTGGCTGGAAGCTCCTCGTTTTGGTTTCCCTGTTTTCTTGTTTTTCATGTGCAAATTGTTCTGTTTGTAGCTTTCATCGCGTCTTGATGGATTGCGAGCAGCTCGATGTGTTTGTGTGTGTGTGTGCGTGTGTGTATAATTATATTTATTGTTTTCCTATCGGACATTGAGGAATGTGGAAAATGTTTTTGTATTATATTGAATGAAGTAAATTCTTTCAGTTTGTATTGTTACCATGGCTATACTAATACCCTGTTTTATTGTAAGAGCTCTGATAAGGCCGAGACTGAGTCTAGTTTAATTAATTAACCATTTTATTTTAGGAACGGAATTACTTTCACAAATCTGATATCTGACAATGTACTGAGTCTTTGAAGTTGAGTAAATCATCATTAGGTTTGTTAGTGGAAGTTTCAATACGAAGAATAAACTTCATTTGTTTAGTTTATACTATGCCACTGGTCGTAAGTTTGATTCTCGTAGCAGCCACAGACAGACGTTTAATTTTAAGAGACAGTAAAGAACTAAGTCTTCTGATATATTTGGAAACGTAATATTTCAGACGTTATAGGACATCGTAAGATGCAATTTTTTTATGTAATAAGCCGGTAAACGAACAGACTGATCACCTGATGGTAAGCAATCGGCGTCGCCCATGAACACCTGGAACACCAGAGGCGTTACAAGTGCTTTACCGGCATTTTGGGGATTAGGAGTTTGAGGATCGTTGGGGATTCAGGGATTGGGGAGATTGGGGAAAGGGAGGGTAATTGAGCCTCCGGTAACCTCACTCACACGAGGAAACACAACGCAAGCGTTGCTTCACGTCGGTTTTCTGCTCGGCCGTGGTATCACTCCGGTCGAGCCGGCCCGTTCGTGCCGAAGCATGGCTCTCCAACACTTGCGTGTTAAACTGTCAAACACCAAGCGGTCACCGGTGACCGCAACCTATTGTTCTATAATTGTGTCTACAAAACCGGTACTCGACGAGTTAATTCACGTAGGTACTTTGTACCTTTTTTAATTGTTAGATCTAGTTGTTATTATTTGGCATGGTGTCCCAAAATGGCTATGAGATTTATATCCCACAATATTTACATTAGTAATAATTTAGGTTTGACTGTAATTGTGGGCGTTCCTATTTGCATACACTATGTGCTTATCAGACTCTGTGCTAGGTACTAGTACTAAGGGTTTCGAAATCAAAAACTCATAAATTTTAAGACCTTTGAATCGAAGGTTCCAGATTATTTTTCAAAATAATGCAATTGTGAACTTGAATTCAGGTCTTTGGTCTACTCTTGAGTTGAGGAGAGGAGTACCTATAATCGAGTATTTAATTTTCAAAATCTTCAGAGACAGAGATTCCAAGTTTACGTCCAGTAACAAGTCAATGGGGGAAGGCTATGTTCAGCAGTGGTCAGACGTCTTGTGGCTGATACGATGATGATGATGATCACGAACAGTTCTATGCTCATTCTCCCCGGGCAAGGGGTCTCGGGTTCAATTCCCGGATAGGGCTAAGTTTTATTGGGTTTTTTTTTAAATCTCAGTAGTAGCACGGAGTCTGGAAATACCCGGTATATAGCAATAGGCTCAACCCCTATTACTAAGGACCGATAACATAAATAGTGAAATGTGGGTCTTACATTGTATAGTGACATTAAGTGATGTAATGTGCACCTCTGCCTACACCTTTGGGGATAAAAAGCGTGAAAAATCATGCATTATCACCAGTTACTTGAGCCGGTGACACCACACACCGGCGGTGACAGTCCACTGCTGGTCTATCGGCTTACTCTACATACGAGGACCTGCAATGATGATCCTGAATGATCTTCAAGCTTGGCAGGTGGACTGGAGATTGCAGTTTTAGTGGTTTAAGTTTATTAGAGAGCGCTGCTATCCAGTCTATTTCAAAATTACTTTGAATGAGGCTCAAAATATTATTATACTAGCGACCCGCCCCGGGTGTAATATGCATGTTTTACACAAATATAAACCGTCCTTAAGAATCACTCTATCTATTTAAAAAAACCGCATCATAATCCGTTGCGTAGTTTTAAGGATCTAAGCATACATAGGGACAGACAGACGGCGGATAGTGACTTTGTTTTATACTATGTAGTGATGAGATTTTCATTTAAGACTCAGTACCTAACCTAAACTGAACGAAGTGCAATTTGCGGTCACTTAAAGACAAATGAACTTGCTACGTATTTTAGTAAAACTATTAATAAATAACAAGTTTCTAAGAACTTTGGTGGTGTATAATGTATCATGAATTATAAATAATTTCTCAATATTCTGTTAATATCTGCTGAATCAATCTACGATGGCCGCGGCTCGAGCTGTCAGGTATACTGCGACTAAGTGCTCACTCCATTATTTATATCATCCTTGTCTGTCAATTATGTCATAATATTATATCTATAGAAATTGAGGATTTCTTGGAAAAGCCTATCTCTTAGGTTTGGAGGGCCACTAATTGGTGTGATTGTATGACTAGATGTATGATGGAAATAAAACAGTACCTACAATGACTTCTACGATGCCCGTAGTAGGTGCTTTCTCCAATGCGACAAAAGTTTGAATTTATATATGTATATAACTGATCATCTTCTTTTTCATACATAAAATCGCGCCTATTATCCCCCAAGGTGTACGCAGAGGTGCACATTATGCCACTGTACAATGTAACACCCACTTTTCTCTATTTATGTTATGAGTCCCATGTAATAGGGGGTGAGCCTATTGCCATATACCGGGTACATTCTTTTTCATAAAAAACAGTAATCCAAGTAACTGTTACGATATTAGTGAACATTTTATTTTTGTTAGTTAAACATTTTGAAATCAGCATTAAATTAAAATTACTATTTGAATTTTGGCTATAACTAGTTATATACATTAATGTAGTCACTTCACAGGTAAGTTATTTGATTTTCTATATGATTACGAAAATCTATAACAAACAAAAAATAAACAAGGCACTTTCAAAAAGCATTCTTAACTTAAGCAAGTAAAATCGACTAGTATCTGTTTGAATCGCAGCCGACAGTCACCGACAGCCGGTATCAACGCCTCAGTTATTCACACCAGAGTGCACCGATTTCGATAAAATTCACTCCGAGAGTGCTGAGGGAAGGCGCGAGGTTTCACCGAGAAAATCAAAGTCTTTTCAATATTGATAAGTTGTGATAAGAGATAGGGAGTTGCTTCGAGCTGTAGCTAGAAAATAAAGTGCTGGTAAACACTATAGCTACTTATAAATATGTATCTAGTTCTGATGCTATATATATGTATAAGCCAATGTAAGCACTAGATTGTATCAAAGGTTTCGCTCGCAATAATGATTCCCGTATTATAAGTGGAGGAAAATCACCGGATAATTCTAGACACCGAGAAAAAATTCAGGTACCTAATCGCAAAGGAGTTTTTGCGATTATTTACTCGATACAATACTCAGTTGTAGTTTGCCTGGAACTAGCATCTAAATCGAGACCAATTTCTTAGCAGTCGCACTTACTTAGGTACAACTAATAAACAAACGAAGCAATGGAGCTAGGCTGAAAAGAACTTGTCGCGGAGAACCTAACAAGTTACCGGGGCTCCGGCTCGACGTGCAGGAGAACGAACGGGGTGGTTTTTAGTCAGTAAGAGTCTGACACTCCCTCCCGCCTCACCCCGGCAGGAGCAGTCATTCGATGATTTTCCCCCCTTAAAAAAAAAGGCTGAAAGGAACTTCGAAATTCGTTAATAAAAACCCTACAATATCGGATTTCAGTTCGTTCCTGGCTTCGGTTCTACGAAATACTGACAGGGGAAAACTGATTGACTGACAATTTCCATTTTGAATCTTGAATCCAATTGTTGATGCCTCTAGTTCAGATTTAGGTGATGACCTCTCGCCACCAGGTCAATACTATTGTCTGTTACTACTTAGATGTTCAACAAGTCCCAATTGATTAAATTTATATTTTTCCAAAATGCATTTCATGTAATTAAAATATTAATTACTTTTATCTTCAATTATAATTCCATTAAGCAGAAGGTTCGTAGACATGTCGTCAGCAATCTAAGAATTATTATATTTCGTATATTGAACTTTAAATATTAAGACTAGCTTTGCTCCTCGAATTTGTACGTGTAGTATTCAGAGGGTATCTATAGAGTCAATCGTGGTTTCAATCGAATAGATTCTGATTGATTCCTACGTCCACCAATTAAATATTAAGCAGGACCAGGACAATAGAAGACTGGACAGAATTATCGACTAACCACTAACCATAACAGTACATAATTTTAAGTAATTATATACCAAATTGCTCACTGAAAAGCTAAAAATTTAATTCCAAAGTAATCGAGCAGTTACAAAGCCTATTCTTCTTAGACAAACTCACATTCAAATTGATCCGTATCATGTTAGGTAGAGACAAAACTAGGGATGGGGGCAATTCTCGATAAATCTTAAGAAAACCACTTTCAAGATTGGTTCCAATTAAATTTGAGACTAACTACACGTCATGTGTTCTCGTCATACACGACTTAATTGTAAATCTGT